TATATATATATATATATATATATATATATATATATATATATATACAGTATCTCTAATAAAAGCAGTGTGGTTTGCCGGGGGGCTGTTGCTGATGGAAACTACTCTGTGGTGTGAGTTTCCTGTTTTAAGTTTGCTTATGGTTTGTTCTTGCCGTTGCGTGTGGGATGCATCTTAGACAGCCTTCTGTTTTATATTTACCGTCATTGTTTTGGCATGCTGTCCTTACTTGTAGGGAGCACCCCGGGTACAGGGATCGGCTTCAAACCTTAACTTCACCAAAGTGTCTTTGAGCAAGATCTTGACCAGTTGCTGTTCTGAAGCAGATCCGGATGTCCAGTAATGGACTTTAATGCATATTGTGTCGTGCGGTAATTTGACGTTTTTATAGTGACAACATGATAATTTAGCAGCGGGTTACTTTACACTTTTTGTTTCTTATCCTCCAATCAGTCACCCGTGACTTATGGAGTAGACTACACAGCCTTCGTCTCTCTGTGTGTGCCACTTGCTCTCCCTTAATCACAGCCTCACTGTCCCCCAAAGGAGCCCTCTTTCTTTCTCCCAATGGTAGAACGACCTGTAATCACAGACAGAACGTGCTCCTTTCCACCGTCTTGTCCAGCTCGTCGTCGTCTTCTCATCCCGGATGTCGTAGATTGGCCCGCTGTGACTGAGGTGCACGATACAGACACCGACCTGAGCCCCGGAGTGTGTACCAAGACAGTGAGAGTGCATTTCCTCTCTCCCCATGAGGCCCCGGTGATCGCTCCGTCATCTATCATCTCAGAAAGCCCATCTACACTAGATAAGGATCCTGCTCCAGCATGAGATTTGCTGCTCAATCGGACACATCTTTATCAGGCTAAAGTGCTTCAGAACCAGAGAAAGCTTAATAGACAAAATATGTGCTGTGGTTGAAGGCTGCTGTTCAGTATCTGGATTGTAAAGATAGCCCATGCTTAATGATCTAGGAGTAAATTAAAAGACGGTAAAGAGTATGCACGCAAACATTATTTAAACAACTTCACTTTATGTGATGTTTGTGTGATGAAATGTTTTGTCCACATATTATTTACGAAGCACTTACAATTATGTAATTATATTTGCCAGAGATATATTACGAAATGCTGAAACAATTAGTAGATTAATCAATCTATTCACTGAGAGAAAAATAATTTTTATACTTAGCTTTACTTATTGGACAAAAACAAGAAACATTCTTCAGTTTCAGTTTCTCTCTTTTTACTTGTATACTGAATATCTTTTGGACCGTTATTCTGACAAAACAAGACATTTAAAGATGTCACATTGGGAACTTTCTTGTATATGTTTCATCCCAAACCATCGGCACTATTCTGTTTTGTATGCCCCGTGTGTGTGTGAAGTCCTTCACAGACACAGCGCTAAACATCTATCAGCAGTGACCTCTGGACCACTTCATCTTTTAATGCATTGTCCCCTCAGCAGAGATACAGACACAACCCATGACCAAAGGGCAGACTGCCAGAGAGAGGGCATCTCAGGCTAGAGCTTCCAGCCCTCTTTACTGTGGAGCAGTTGATACAAATATTGAAATGGGAGGGGAGACGTACCGCAGTGTCCATTTGAACCTGGACGATCCCCAGCACCCACACGGAGGATGCCAGATGCTTCCTGACGATACCGCTCCCCCCTTCAGATAGCTTCATTTCCTACACCGTGGCCTGTCGATGGAGCTGGGCCCAGTGTACTGTCCTCTGTTTCTCTGTTTGTTGTGAGTACAGGGGACGCTTTCAGGAACACCATGCAACCACGAAGCCATTTTTCAGCTTAGCACTGTCCTCCCCGTTCGTCCGTCTATGCCCCCGGGCTGACCAGGTCCTCCTGGCTTTCTTCCCCCCCCCCACACTCTACTCCCATCAGCTGAAAGGAGACAGTTATCGGACAGGGCAATAGACAGCAGACCTGCACATTGGCTTCTGTTGTCATTAAGTGTAATGCGTTTCGATTTAGATGTGTTTTTCTAACCCCGCTCTCCAGTTGTCAGCATATTGGAGAACAGCTCCTCATTGTGTTTGTCAGGGCGCCTTCTGTCTGTTGAATTGTCTCTGTAGCTTAAAATGGCATTTTACATTTGACTGTGGTATGATCCAATCTGGTCCATATTTGTTTAAAGATGATCTTTTGATTTGTGGAGTCCAGAGGAGATCTTTCTACATCTCCATGTTCCCTTGAGCTTGTTATCTTTGTCTGTCTGAGCGGTGCTCAGCCATACACGGTAACCTCTGTTCGTGACCGGCAGACTCTGGTCTGTTTATTATTCTGATGCTGGCTCCCCCCAGATATCCACGTGTGCTGTTGTTGCACATGTTGCCGTCTCTCCCTTTACGCCTCGTAAAAAAAGTTCACTCGAGCAGATGTTTGAAGTGACATTGATCTTAAGAACGAGAGGACAGAGAGAAGGCCTAACATTGGAAATCAGTCGAATTTGATGTGGACCATAGGATGTAATGCAGTCACTAGGACAGTGACAATAAGCAGTGAATAGTGGCTACATGTGTGTTTGATTATTGTAGGAACTTTTTCCAAGTGCTGAAATGAAAAGCTGCATTATTTTAGGCCTTTATCCAAAGCCTTCAGTCACTCCAGTCCACCCATTCACACGCCGACGGCAGGGAAAGCGAGCTAGGTGCTGGCCTGACCGTCCGGAGCAACTGTGGTTGAATGTCTTGCCCAAGGGCACTTTGACAAGAGGAGCTGAGGATTGAACATTGGGGTTAGTGGACAACTCGCTCTACCGTCTCAGTTGTAGCCGCCTGTTGATTAGTGGGTTCATTGATGGTCCCGCCTCCAAAGTGTTAAGCTTTGTTTATACTCGGACTTGGCGTCGTAGCACGAGCCTCCGCAGCGCGCTATGTACGGAGACGTTTATCCTCCATGTACTGTGCACTTCATTATTCTCCGACAAACTAAATCTACTGTGTGGAATCAAAAATGCAACAAGTGTAACCCATAGATATGTCCATAGACAGTAAGTGTAACTGGCAAAAGCCATAAACTAAGCTCCACAATGCCGAGGAGGGATTCTTATTATATGTAAACTCGTATGCATGGACTATTTAATCGGCCTTTGTACAAGCCCTGTAAAGAAAGAAGTCAAGTATTGCATGTATTCTCAGGAAACGAAGGTTGAATATCCTGTAAACAATTTGATTTGGCCATCAAAATATATGCTCAAATGGAAATGTTTAAGATCACCGGATTCTAAAGAATTTAAAGGTAAATTGGCCTTCTTTCTAGAATAGATATTTTATCAGTTAACTATTTGTGACAGTCAAGTGAATACGTCATTTTCTGCTGCGCGCGCCTCTCGCCGGCTTCATGAGGGCGAGTACAAGCTAAGCTTTAGGTATTGCTTATTTTTGGGAACAACTGTGCCCTGTGTGCGTTTAAATAACTGGCCTGTTGACTTTTCTTTTTTTTTTCCATACAACAGGAATCAAACTGTAAAGGTTAACTGTGAACTTGATGACATGTTGGATGTTTAACCTGCAGCTCCTTAACAGGTAAAAAAAAAAAGGAATCTTTACTTGACTTGCAGCGTTATTTGTTTTATTTGACAGTGATGAGGTTGCACAAACAGTTCATTAGCTTGCCATGTAGAAAGGCTCACATTCTTCGATTAAATTACACTGAAACTAAAGTCTGTCTGCAGGAGATCAGGGCAGCACATCTACTTGATATATGCATGTCAGGCTTTGATTTAGTCTCCCGCTTGTTTAGGCGGGTCTGATTTATGTCCTTCAGTAAAGCAGCCTGGAAGTGGGTGCTGCTTGACAGGCTCAGTTCAGGAGGACATTCTTTCTGTGCACAGAGTACAACAAGATGCTGAGGAACCAGTCCTACAGACATTTTGGCCAGAATTACGTCGAACCAACCTGATTCATGGGTAGTTGCCTAACCTGCTTTTTGGCCGTTGGAGAGATTGCTCGGTAGATATCTTGGTTAGAATCAGAAAAGAACTGCAGACTTTAGCAGGTGGTTTACTGCAGTGATCCTGTCATGAATGCCATCACGTGGTTTTAGTTTATGAAGAAGACCGACTGGGTCCTACTCGCAAACTTACATTCATGATGAGTAATCCACCTGACATGTAAACGGTGTGTTAGGTGTTTGGATGACTGTGTAGTAGTTTTACAGGTGAAGCCTCTTTGATGATGGGGTGTTGAAAGCTTCTTGCTTTCTGGTCACACCCATTTTGCACCTGCCGAATTCCAATCTGCATTTTTACTAGTCACGACTTGTCAAATCAAACTGTTGCGAAAGAGTCTTTGTCCACGTAACAGTCACACCCATGGTAGACTTAGTCTAAGTCAAAAGAAGCATTCTTCTCGGGCCAAGCTGTCAAATAAGAGTTTAGAGTAGTGTGCCATTCACAGGCTTACACTGAATCGAGGAAAAGAAATAAACATTTTCACACACAGGCACAGCATCAGAGTATGAAATGCTAGATGGACATGCCGTACTTGACTGTTTAATTAAGCATAAATATCAGCTGTGAATGTGACTTTAATTCCTCGCAAGACATGCTGTCAGAGACTTTATTGCCGCGGTCTGTTTTGTTGTAGAATCAAGAGGCTGATCTCATTGAAACCAGGAGTCATGCCCAGCTGTTTGCTTTTTTTAGTTCCTCTCCCAGACTAGCTCCAAGCCTTGAATCGACCCAGCACCCTCTGTTTGTCGCACGGCTTTCCCGTGCTAGCACATCCACTCCCTGTGCCAGGAGTCACTGTGTGCATGGCATGTGTTGGAAGGGTTATGCCAACGGATTTGCAGAGTTCTCAGATGCACACATGACCAGTGCATACCTCTGAGGCACAGACGTCTGTCTGAAAGGTGGCAGGAAAATTAAGATGCCATGAAGCAGTCTGGGCAGAACTGTAACCATTTGCAAAAGCATGTCATGTTCAGTTGTTTCATTGACAAATGACTTGGCCTGCGGCTAAAAGGAGGTTCACGTCTTGCCCTCGCCTGCAATCAAAACGTAACAAAAGGCAAAACTAACAAAGCCGTGTTTCCTTGTAGCCCAGATGAGTAATGAGACGTTAAGCACATTTTAAACACATTCATGTGTTCGGTACCGCATCACCGTTGAGTGATATCTCCCGGTAAACTATATTTCTTCTCGAGCAAGTACCGGAGAGAATAGCAGGCCCAGATGCTGTTAATGTTGGCGGACGGATGATCTATGTTTGACAGACTTTATTTCCTGCAGATCACAGGATATTGATTGCCTTTTTAAAGCTGTATGGCTGAAGAAGAAAGTAAACAGGGGTGCAGTTCATCCCAGGTGACACTGAAAGGACAGCCAGTGAACAGTGCAGCGGGCTTCACACGGTTACATCAAGTGGAGATGAAAGTCCCCCGAGCTTAACTCCCAGGGTTGGCATCATAAGAGGATTTAGTGGGAAATGTGATAACAGTAATCTGGATTGGATTATTGTTGAGATTAATGCACCCTTTGGGAGGCAAATGAGAAGCGAAAACCTCGGGAGACCCTGTTGATGTAGAAAGATTACCTTTTGTATTCTGTGGAAATAATGAATGCGTCCCACACCGAGGAAGCACTTTGTTACAATAATGTAGAAGGGTGACGGCACGAGCAGCTATTGTGTTCAATTCAATTTATATTCAAGCTGCTGCATAGATTAATAAATGTGACCGTGTATGTACGTGACTACTAAAAACGGAAGTTAGACTTCATATTGATCCTTTTCACCAAACGCAGCTCAAGGGACACGACGCACTAAAAAGTCGAGGTAGTTAAAGGCAGTTATTTAAGAAGCATTTTTATTAAATGTTTGTCGAAATTCTCTTCCTGACAGCAATCAATGTGTAGCTGTTGCATGCCTGTAATAAGCTAATCATGATTGGATGGCCACTAGCGCTGCATGATATATCGTTTTTAGCATCGACGTTGAAGCGCAATAGTCACATCGCAGGATGTGCAATGTCAGCAAATTCACTCCAACACGTCATGATAGGCTACAACTTTTCATTATCACTAAGAGCACGTTTCTGACCAATCGCACCTCTTTAAAAGAACGAGGTCAGCCGCACTTCCTCACTAAGGTTTCTGTCCCTTCCTCGCTCAAAGTTACTCTGAGAAGTCCTAATTCAATAATTGGGATTCAAAACTAAACTCAGTGCTGTATTACATAACCTGATCTGCTAACGTTTCTATGCGTCAGGCTCAAGTCTGTCAGTTCAAGAGCGACGACCCTCCAACGGACTGAAGCAATGAAGTAGCGAGCCTTTCTTATCCAAATACAAAGCACACATTAGGGTTTTGCTTGTGTCAACATAACGTGCCTTGCTGCTGTGTGAATACTTGTAACCGTTCTCTGATTAAAGTCCATCAGTCCTTTGTGCGTTCTGCTACTCTTTGCTCTGCTGTGACACGCATTAACATCTCTTGCAGATGCGTTAGCCATATATCATTATGGTGTCGTTGGGTATCGTAGCTGTCAATAATAATTCACACCGACCGTGACAGTCATGCTGTACGCTTTTGTAAATGGGTAGCTCTTTGGTGAACAATTATCAGCACTGGCTCTACAGTAGATGTTTGTACACTTGGCTTGTTTCATCACAGTACACAGCTTCAGCTTTGATTGACCAACAACAGTATTTGTGTTGGCTTGTTGCTCCAGGGGTTACAATGAGTTTATTTTTGATATTTTCCATTTCAATGTTTGGTTACGATCCCACCAATGATAGATGATCTGCCTAGAGGTATGTGTAGTGTAATCTTTACATTGGCTGCTGAGCGTCCCATGTGTTGAGCCTAGATTTCTGTTTTTGTTACTTTTTTAAAATTACAGACGCATTTCTGGATCAAATCCAGCAATAATTCAGTCTCCCTCCCCTTCAACACACTTCTTTGCTGAGCCATTTAGAGTGATTGTAATGAAAGCCATCACGCCGTCTCTATCTCGTTGAATGTTTTTCCTTTTCTTCCTTTCGGAGGCTTCGGCTCACTCATGTGGCTGTTTCCAGGGTAACCACATTCCCTTTCAAAATGGACCATGTCTGTTATTGGATACTGTTCCATCTCCATGGCAACAAAGCTCTTAAAATTCCCAGTTAAATATAAGATTCGGTGTCAAACTAAAAGCAAAATTAAGATGTAACTTTGGATATGTCATGTTGAGTGACTGATAATAACTAACCCCCGAGACATCGTCTTCAGAGGGATCTTGAACCAGGCTAGAGTGGTTTTATTGAACCACGTCTATAGAAGAGGTGTCCATCCTCCCTCTCTAATGGCGTCGGTGTTTAATCTCTGTCCGTTCCTACCGACCCACCTCTTTCTAAAACACACGACGGCCTTCTCACTACGTGCCTGACGTCCGACACATTGCGACATAGCCCGAGGATGAAGGCGGCAGCTTGTCCTGCTCTCTCAGCCATCTCCATCACCACTTTGCCAGATGACAAGTTATGAAATATACTGTTGAGAGCACAAACGTGGTCATTCTCATGATGCTGTGGATTTGTAGCCCCCAATGACCTTTGCATGTATTTGGCGTATTAGTGGAGGGCGTGACTTCCTCATTGATTAGCTACTTCAAAACCATTCAAATCGTAGCTTTGGATTAATTGTTACAGATGTCGGACCCTCACTCAAGTTCTGCCAAGCTTTTTACAACTGCAGCGATTGCTCATTAGCGCCTCTAATTGGTGGATTCATTAATGTGATGTGTAACCAGTCAGACAAACTAGAGGACAGATTGAGTGGGTACAGATGAATAGATGTAGGCTAATGACTTTACTTTGAAATGTTCGGCTTTTCTGGGGCAGATGCAGACAGACGGCGCCAAGCTTTGGACTCTACTCTTCCAGTGTTAATCCGCAGACTTGTCCCTGATTTTACTATTATTATTTTTTTTTTAATGTAAAGTTAATTGACTGTTAGCTCTTTCTAATTTGTTGGCAAGCTCAGAATATGCATGTTTAGACTTTATTCTCCGAAACTCCCAGAGGGCTCACAAACAAAATGAACTGTGAAGAATCAATAAAGAAAACGAGTGTCACCCATAGATATGTCCATAGACTGTAGGTGTAACTGGAAAAAGCCATAAACTAAGCTCTACAATGCTGAGGAGGGATTATTACTATCTGTAAACTCATATCTCATATTTATGGACTAATTTATTGTCTTTATACAAGCCCTGTAAATGAAGAAGTCAAGTATTACATGCATTATGAGGAAACAAAGGTTGAACATAAGCTTAATGTTACGGATATCTTTTGCCAGCAGGAACTTTGCACAAATAAAAGTAATCACAATTAAAACAACATTCAAAAACAATAAAAAGGGGCAAATCCTGTACTGTGAATATATTTTTGTGTAAATGACCAACAATAGGGTGGTTGTGTTTGTCATGATGGTGATGATGCATTTTTCGTGCACTTAACCCTCCAGACAGGAGACAATGCACTGAGTTCCTTTCCTGCATGTCTGGAGTATTCCTTAAAGAATTGTCCTTTCAGCACGGCCTGAATGGTCAGAAATCTGCTGGCATCCTCCAAGCAAACTGATCGTTTTTGTTTCCTTCTTTGGCAGTAGAGCAAGAAGACGGTTTGCTTAGTTTTTACCAGCTCTCCCTCAAGGTTTATCTCGGTTGTGACTGTTCCTCTTTACAGCACACACAGAGACAACATTCCCTCTGTTAACAAGGATTACTAAACAGTATTCAACACATCTGTTGAAGACCCCTAAAACCTTTTCTTTTGTGGTGCTGAGGGTTGTAGAGTGGATGCCCTGTTCGCTTGTGACTAACACAAGTTGTGTCCATTGACTCAGTCATCGTCCAACACGACGACGTTGGGATCCTCCAGGCGAGTTTTTAACTGGAGAAATGTTTGTGCGGCTCAGTGTTGTCCTGCCTGCAGCTCCCTGCTGATGTCCCCGACAACCCAGTGTTGTTTTTTTGCTGAGTTCAGTCTCACTCCAGATGTAGAGAAGCAGCAGGACTGTCCACTCAGATGGGATAATGGCACGAGTTCTAGATGGTGTGTTTGTCACAGCTGAGACATTGTTGGAAAACGGCTTAAATATTGTGTGCGTCCGATTCAGAGCTAGTCTTCTTTGTTTTGAATAAAAAATAGTTAACTGCCTTATGAGTCCTTTCAAAAGTGCACTAACACATTTGTAAGCCTTTGTGTTCTTTGCTTGGGTCTCAAATATTTGATCGTTTTCCCATCTCCAGCCGATCAGGTGAGAGCAGAGAGTCTGTGCACTCGCTAACGGTACGCCAGACTTGCAATACCCGGGCGTAAACCCTGACCGAGTATGCCAGGCAGAGACGCAGCAAATAGCTCAGCAGCTAAACTAATCGATGCAGCGGAGACTTATTGGGGAAAGTGGCTGCATGTGTCCACGACAATGCATGCATACTAGGTATCGGGGTACTTTCACTAGTAGAAGTGCAGTATCGCGCCCTCACCGGTGATGGTATTGGTGCAGCTCTAGCTAGAACCCCGATTAGCACATATCAGCAAATCTAAGTAAATGCTCCAGGCCCATATTTACAACTTCTCCATCCGCTATTGTGAAGGAACCCAACATGGCAAGCCTAAATATAGTTTGGCTTGGTTTCTCACAATAACTGCTTTTGGCATAGATCAGCGGATGTAGCTGCCCTCCCAAGGTGTTGCCATCTGAGGGCTGATTAGATAGGGGTGGGGGGGTAGTGAGATGATGTCCACCAGCAACTTATAATACATTCTACTTGGAGAAAAAAAATCAATGAATATTGCCTTGATGCATTTCAATAGGGGCAGTACAGTGTGACATTTTGAAAAAAGCTTGAGTGCAGCATTTCTGTAACAGTAGTTTTAAAATAGTGTTGAACACCTTCATGGTTTACAGACAGGGTGACCACAACTGTGGACCTCTGTCGCCTTATTACAGCCATCGGTGTCACTTTAAGCGTCCTCGGCTCATTCACGACCCGTAGTCATCGTTACTCTGCATTGATTTTTAAATGGCGGTCAGTCATGTACTGCAGTCCGATGGACTTAGTGAATAGCCGCAATACAAATCCACCAACCAGCTCCACTTCTTTTTCTTCATCATTCGATGTAATTCAGCCTCCGTGCAAAACAAATGGTGCTTCTCCTGCAGGAGTCAGTACTGCATCACGGTTCAGTGCATACAATGACTACTATACCTATACCTGCACTAACAGGAGGCACTTTGGAGAGGGATATTCAGATTATTTTTTTTGCCCTGAAGTTTATTCTAGTAAAAGTCACTTGACAAAAGTATTTGATACAGATGGATCTTCAGCAACAACAAAAAAGGAATCAAAACTTGAAGTTGCGATTTCTCCCTTTATTTCAATAGATGAGGAGATGAACAAGAGCCTTTATGTAAACACTTGTTATTGTGAACCTTGGCTCAACTCACAGTGCTTGTTTCCATTCCTCAACAGCCTTCCTGAAAACATGTTTACCACATGTTTGTTTAGTTTCCCTTGTGTGGAATCAATGGCGCTGCTCTGCTGACCCCAAACTCAATCCAGTAGACCAGCCACAAACAGCCTGTGCCCCACCTCTATGGGACCTAATGTGATTACAGTAATAACCACCTGCACCGTAGGACGTTTAATGGGATTATGACAAATTGTCTCAATAGAACAGATTACAACCGTATATGTGTGTCTCTATCCACTTACTGTCAAGTCAAACGGTATTAACACTTCCTTAACTTCGTGGCTCGTCTGGAATGCAAGGAGTTCAGTGTTTCTTACGGGCTTGCTGTGTACAAACATTTCGAAGACCAGGTTTTATTTGGGCAGACAGACACTTGCCCCTAGGGCCATCAGCTGATGTTTGTCCAGTAATCCTCCACGATTCTGGCTATTTGAACTTTGAGGTTTTTACTACTAAGCTAAGCATTGCTGGTCAGACAGAAGAACCCTTGGCTGTTTGCTTATTTCCTCTTTCTCTATCCGTCTCTTCCAGTTGTCCGTTCCTTGCCCTGAAGCTGACCCCAGTCATCCCGGTCATAGGAGGTGTACTGTTTCTGTTTGTGTTGGGGACGCTCCTGAGAACCAGCTTCACTGACCCAGGGGTGCTGCCCAGGGCCACCCCAGATGAAGCCGCTGACCTGGAGAGGCAAATAGGTAAGACTCTAATTTAATTATTTTATATACGAAAATAGGCATTAAAAACCCTTTTTATTGAGATTTTCCCGCCCTTAGTTATTCTTTTACCAACCACTATTTTCAGTTGATGTGTTTTGTAGGCTCTTCCTCCCTGTCTGAGCCAGTGGTTACCTTTATCTTAAATACTGTATTTGTCTTTGAGTTCCAAGGGACCTAGTGTGTGTGTGGGCCTTTACAACCTCCTATAAAGAGTGCCAGATTGTCTTGCCGATGTGTTTGGAGTTTGTCTGTGTAGCCAAAGAAATGAGGATGAAGCTTCCACTGACTTCCACTGAGGTGAAGTATCGGTGCTGCTTTGACCAAGTGGCTTTTGCTCAGTGTATTCCACTCCACCTTATCCTAGGGTCCCCATCTGATTTTGACCTGACTCGTACATTTCATCTGGATAATTTCTTAATCTAATGTGTGACGTGAAAGGTAAAACTGTTTGGTGCATTTGGAACCACTTGATACGGTGTAACTGAATTACCGGCATCGCAGCACTGACGGTAGCTCGCCATGAGTCAGAAACAGCCGAGACAGCAGTTTGTGATGAGGATTCAGTCTTAAAATACACGCATTAATGCATGAAAGCCATTATCTGGATGCAACCCCTGTTCAGATGTAGTTTTACCAGTAAAAAGAGATCCAAGGCTTATTTTCTCTACAATTGACATAATATTTATTATGTGGACATGTGTTGCATTCAGCATCAGAGTTAATGGTGAGCTCTGGCATTAGCTTTGGTGTTTTTAGAAAGACTATATGAAAGCAGTGAAAAAATATTTTACCTGTTCAGAATTTGTATGAGGCCACTACATAAATGCAACCATCAGCCATAATAGAAGCTGCTCCAAGTGCAATACTTCAGAGTCCGAGTGTAGTCCGCTACACGAGGCCTCTTTCAGAGGAGGTAAGGAGATAATAAAGGGCACTTTAGACTTCACACTGGAAACAATGTCAGCTTAGTAAGTTGCGTGACTAAATCACCAGTCTCCAAAAGTGTCCTGCTGCCCTGTAGCTAGATGGATTATCACCACTTTACTCCCGAGGTTTGACTTTTTAAACCCTCTTTTTAACCCCCCACCTTCAAAGTTTTGGTCCTTTTTTTTATTTTGAATGTGAAGCTTTTATTTGCCAGCGATGGTCCTTGCCGTGCTTCAGGCCACTGGGGCCTCTTTAAACAAACTCTCGACTGGCTTAATTAATCTCATTAGGCGACTTAAAAGCTTTTGGATGGACGGTAAAGCACAGAGCGCTTGGAGCAGTGGGCTGAAACTTCACTTGTGCAACACTCCCATGTTATATCGGCAAGCATGTTCTTGTCGGAGGATAAATAATTGAAAGGCTGAAAATATGAACAACGTTGACCTAAATACCAAACTCTGTCAGCCTCTCTGCCATCATTTCATCCCAAAGTGTAGCAAATTGGAAATGAAATTGTTTCTAAACTGGAATCTCTTTGACATGTTGTTGTTTGTTGCCTGTAGCTGACTTTGTGTTTTCACAGGTGGTGAAATGATAGAATAGATGAGGCTTTTCCCCAAAAGAAAATTCTGTTTTGTTTTTTTCTTTTTGTTTTTTTTGTTGTTTTTTTTAACATGGTTCTTACTTTTTGTAGCTTTTGCTGTCATTCCTCTCGGTTATTGTAACATCTTTCTCACCAGCTTAATTGCACAGATGTGTTTACAAGGACTCAACACAGCTTTACAATGGAGCCCATGGCATCTCTAACGCATGCATTCAGACAGATGTTCAAGAAAAGGCCTAGATAAAGAAGAAGTTAAGCTTAAGTGTCAATTGTAGAATAGCGTATAGCAGTAGACTAATAGACTGCTGTAGTGTGGGGACATTATGGTTTCCATTATGTTCCGTTTGAAAGAACTTGGCTTGTTATAGCATGAGCATTTATCCGCGGATCCTTCAGATGCTTTGAATCCTTCAGATTTAAGACATTGGTAAAGGTCACTTTGTTTTCCACAAGTGGGTAAAAAGGCAGAAACCCATGTTATTCATTGAGTTGCTTATTGCACTCTTGCTCTTTCTTTCCGTCGGTCTCTGGTAGTCTTTGTGATGTAGTGTCTCTACTGTAGTGTCTCTGTATTCAAACCACCTCCCTGGTTCCTTAGTCCAGACCTGATCATCCAATCCCATCCAAAGCCCCAACAGCAACCAGCCTCACAGTGTCTGCCTGTCTCTGTCTCCTTTCCTCACTCCTTTTTATTTGTCAGAGCTGCCATAATGTAATGGCTCTTTACCACTTTAGGTGTTGTTTCCTATATGCTCACATACTGCATTTTTTTTAAATCGCCATTTAATGCGCAACACTGGTTTACTCGATTTACATAACTGTCACACATATATCTCAAATCAAATTTTCCATACAAAATCCTGATCAATTAGAGGGCATAACTAACATTTATTGAGTGTTACAAATGATGAACTACCTGTTTATTAGACTTTATTAGACGCTGTAATCGTTGAAACAAAAATCCCTGAATACTTCAGCCTCCAGTAGTCCAAGACGTTTTGTAATTCACCAGCAGCCTCATGAATAGATGATGATGTTTTCAAGTCGAAGTGCTACAAGGCTCAGGTTGGACACCACTCCTATTGATCTGTTGACTAAACAACGAGGGACAACATATCTGTGCACTGTGAGACATCAGGGTCGCTCATGCTGCCTGTACTTAAGGAGGGAAAGCTGATAGGCCTCCGCTGTCGTCACTGTGAGCAGATCTCTGCTGTCTGCCAAATGTCTGTGAAAAGGAGGTTAGGGTGGGTGGTGTGAAGTTTAGCCAGACAAAATCAAATAATGGCATTTTTGCTTCATATGAAAGATATTACTGTGTACAGTCATCCTCATTCTCAGGCCGTTATTCCTGCACAAATTATTTTTTTTCAAACTGCTAGCAAAGGGTGACTAGTATATTGTCACAGTGTACTCCGAATACAGCAGACATACTGTGTGCACCTATAAAGGGCTGGAGGAAGGGTAGCACAGCGTGTTGTTTATCCCCGCTTGAGATGGAGACGAGAGTTGATTTGCCTTCAGTGTGCTGCGTTTGATGTCTCTTCATGTCTGCCTGCTTGCCCAATATGTCAGGACCAGACAGCTTGGCATCAGTTCAGCTTCCACTTGCCAAATCCAGAAGACTTTCTGAAGCATTAATCAGAATGAGAGATGGTAATTGCTGCCCGTTTCCTTCCCTCCACCTGATATTGTCAAAGCTAGCTGGTGAACCTCAGGGCAGCCACGCTGTTTTTTTTGGGTTTTTTTTCCAAAGCTGCCAGCCATGATTTAGGGCCAGCAGAGGAAACGGATTTTGGAAGGCTTAGAGCTTGTGCTGCTGGAGGAAAGATGGACACATCAGTGAGGCTACAAGGACATTTAGGCTTTCATGACTAGAGGAGCAGTCACTATGGGTGTTTGAATGTGGGGACTGTGGTGCTTCCATTCTCTTGGGAGTGCATTGAGCTGATTTCTTCAAATTTGGCACAAACGTCCACTTCGAGGTTGAACCGATTTAGAACTTGGTAGTCGTATAGTGGTGTATCGGATCGTAGTTGATCCGTACGGATCCCCTGCCACGATTCGATTTAGAACTTTTGATGGTTTGCACTGACTTGGGGGCACAAGGACAAAATGATCAGTGTCGACCGATATGGCTAGTTGGTGATCGGAGCATCTTTAAAAGTTATATTTGATCCCTTTTTTTTTTTTTCACTGTTGATCCGATCGGTGACTCAAAAGAGTGATTCGATCGAAACCATGAGTTTTGTGATCCGTTGCACTCCTGAGGCTCACTGTGACCTCACAAAACACGTTTTTGGCCATAACTCAAGAATTCATATGCCAATTATGTTCAAATTAAGGACATTCTGGACAGACATGAACTGGAGCCCGACTGGTCGGCTGGAGGCATAAAACCGCAAGGCGGTGATTCTAATTCTAGTGTTTTGTGTTTTTGTATAATATTTGTGTATGTGTTCTGAATAGAAGCTCATCCGAGCTAAGCAAAGCAAAGAATACGTCCATGCAGTATGCGTGGGTTGAAAATCATAGTTTTTGCCTTGGGGCTTGGAGTCGGCCCCACTGCTTTGATTTTGACTTATGCTTTGTTGTTGGCACCCCACCGCCGTTGGCAGTGCACCGTGACAATTTTCACTCCCAAGTGTGTATCATCATAATAAACTGTGCTTTGCTACTCTGCTGACAAGTGTGCCGCTTGTACAAAGCGTGAGCCGAGCTAAGGGCACAAAAGCAGGACGCGCTGTTGCTGATGCAATCGGAGATATTTCACTGTGTCATGTGATCATTCTCTATAATTGTTCAGCATTCAAAATCTTAGGTACTATGGTGTTCCGGTAACTGGGCCATGAACTCGTCTAACTGTTAAAAATTCCAAACCAAACATGAGGTTTTAACCAGGGTTTGTCTCATCAATCGAGATGTTTCTTACTTTAATATGAGGACCAAAGCAATTCATTAAACCCACATCATTCTCTAACTTGCACCCTTTTTTAATTACATTGTGTTTATCGCTTTTATTTGTTGTTGTGAAATGTTTTGTTAGGACTGGTTTTTGTCAGTGTACTTACCAGAAAGTTCATCCAGATGCCAAAACTCAAATGCAAAGCTCCTCGCCAGAGACCAGCCCGAGCTACCCTCTCAGATTAGATCCAGCCTAATCGCATTAGATCCAGCCTGCTCTCCCCGTAGCGATAAGACACTGTGAACAATCTCGCTGGACTTATAGGTCTGCTTGTGCCGCTGACTTTGATCAGGCTAAGTGAACTAAGGCTCTTTTCATTATGAGCTTCTGTGTCCTGAAGATGACAAGATGTTAGAAGTGGCTACTTATTTCAATCTTGGCAGTTCTATCCTTTAAATGCTGACCACTGCATTGATTCATGCCATGAAACATTAAAAAAAAAAACACCGGCACCAATTTTGCATTTATCATTGTATATTGTGCCGTTCACAGGGCTGTATTGATTCCGACCTCCTCTTGGTCTCCAACCGTGGAAATAAAAATAGTGAAATATAGCAGCCACGGTGCTTCAGTGACTCCAGGATGTGGTCTCTCACAGTGACGGGGTTTATCAGACGCACAGTCTCCTGAACTCCTGTCAAAGCATCTTTTGCCCTTGCCCCGACAGTAGACTGTGTGTCTGTTTGACGAAGAGATGGTCGTCCTCTTGCAGAATGAGTTGATACCTTGTTTTGAACGACGGCCCAATCATAATTCATGCTGGTACGTAAATCGCTGCCACGACTCTCTTCCTCCCTCCGCTCCCGTCTCTGGTGTACCCAACCGCCCCGGGTCACGTTCATGTTTGACTCCGTTGTTATTGGCTGAATAATAAGTAATAGGTGTGCAGCCAGTGGAAGGACTCCATTACTAAGCCACTTGACATCTCAACTTGTACATTTGTGAACAGCCTATCCTCTCTTGTTATGATTGACAAAGGGGCATGTCGTCAGGGGAGGAGGAGTTTAAAAGAGTTCAACATGACACAGAGACGGAGGAAAAACTGCTTGGAAGAGAGGACAGGAGAGTGTAGATGGCTCAATTACAACAAGCAGAATGATTAACACTATTTTGATTGTTTTTAATTCCCCATGGGAAATTAAAAGATGCCAGTGTCGGGTATTGCGTGTATTCATCAGAAGGAAGCTGTATTGCTGATTTCCTCGCTGAGGAGAAGCTTAGCATTTATTTAGCATCCCCTAAACACCCAGGACCGGGTTATGTAACGTCGTCACAGGTTTATCCACACTCCCTTCAACTTAAATCTTATCGTACAATCCAGCCGTTACGATATTCTGATCGTGTGTGGTGTAAAGAGTCACTTTACACTCTTTGAAGTGCCTTAGGCAGAATAACCTCCTCTATTATTCTCCCTGTCTTCCTTCATTCTTGGCATGTCCCCAGGCATACAATGACATGGACTTGAAAAAGACATGATAGAGCCTCAGGGAATAGGAATCTACAGGAACAGAGCTGTCACTGTAGAGCTGTTTTATTGGAGACAATGGAAAACAAACTTGTTGTGGAGGAGTAATTACACTGGCCTGGGTTGACCCAATATGCTGATCATCCACTCTCTGTTGCTCCATCCATTATGCCTGCATTAACCCAGCTTTCTCATGCACATACACACCTTTTATCTTAATGCACTTCAATAACATAAAATATATATGCAGGAAACCTAACGGTGTGTGCTCTGTGTCGTGTGAAGATCAGATGAGGTCACAGTAAAGACACCACCACATGACCCACAGCACCTTCTAGTAATAACCTATTAGTTATCTGTGCCCAAGATTGCCTTGTTGTGGAATAGAGAACGGTTGAGAGATGTTGAGCATCTTCTATTCGTATCCGCTCGTTCTTTTTTCAAACAATGGAGCTCAGAGTAATATCCAGGAGTAGAAGAGCAAATTAAGTGTACTTGTAATTTGCATTTCATTGTTTGTATTCTACCTCCTTAAAGCTGCCACACAATCTATACAGTATGTGTGATTCAGTAATAGTGCTAAGTGTGACCCAGAAATGTGTGAACATTTTTTGCTGGATTAGGATTAGTTTACAATAATACGTTGCGTTAACATAAGCGCTCTATATGTTACTGGCACTTTGTTTTGGGGCTTTTATTTGCCCTCAAAGATGTCTGCTGGTTTTAGCGTGTCAGTGCAGACGGACCGCTCCACATATTTTACTCTGTGTTGGATTTTATTGGCCATGCTATACATTCAACATAACAAAACAGTCAGCGTTGTAGTTCAGCTGTGAACACAGCACATCCGACTAGACGAACATTGTAAACACTGCAGTGTTTTGTTGGTCCATACTAATGCTGCTGTTTTATGTTGTGGCCGCATCAAGAAATTATGCTCAGCAGAAAACCAAATCTAAAACCAGCTTGGCACAGCAACAAATGTCCCATAATCCTCTGAAGAAGCACTGGCACGTCTATTTACATGGCATTCAAAGCCGGTCAGCTTCTGCTGTTTTAACTGTGGGACAGGTGCTGCTTGTCTTATAGTCGGACAGCAAAGCTTTTAACACAGAACAGATAAACGGATATTACAGACTGATCATCAATGCATGTCTCACTCCTTCTCCACGTGTGAAGTTAGTTTGTTAGTAAAGAGATGTTTTCTGGGCAATCTAGCGTTGGGCTCGGTAGTTAGACCAAATACTGGGGGGGGGGGGAAAGCTGCTTATGTAGTTGGTAAACCAGTGAATAGCCTCCATTTAGCCATCAGCTAATCCTTACTTAGTAATTGTTTTGAAAAATTGCAGTGACATCGATATAAATTGGAGAGGTATAAAGGTTTTCCTATTTCATGGCTTGAATATGATAAGAATTACTCTTATTATGGCATTTAGAACCACACTAAGCAAAACTAGGGGATAATAATAGCTCACAGTTTTTAAAAAAAATTTGCATTCAAACAAAACACAGCTGGACTGTTATAAGAGTTCATGGCTTCCAGATTATGAGACACTTTTTTGTTCCCCACCGTGTGAGCGATCATTACAGTGTAAGTGAAACATAAGCTGCCGAGCTTTGACATATTTAAAAAGTGTTCATCAAAAGAAATATCTCACGACACCTTTTGTACCGGCACCGGAGACTGCAGGAGGAGCTTTAGCCCTCGATAGCTTGTGCACAGAACAACTTTCCTCTGTTTTTTAAAGAGTTACCACACGGGCATATGTTCCACTTATACAACCACTGTTTAACACCAGCATCCCATAATCTGTGTGTGCTGTCAAACTTACACAACTGAACTAGTCTTTTTATGTTTAGAAAGTACTAGTCTTCTTCGTAATTGTGGAAAATCAATTTCATGATTGATAATTCACACTTTTTTTTATAGCGTGTTTGAAACCGTTTTCTGTCTAGTCAGCTGTTGTGTGACGAGACCTTGAAATGGCTGCTTGACTGAACAGGGTGTGCTGGTGCTGCCTCGTGCATCTTGGCAGGCGGCTCGAGGTCAGTAGTGCTGTATGTTAGCCAATAGCCATCATCATCGTACACTTTTCCATCTGTGAAGGTAAAGGTCCCAGTTTTCTCTCCTCCACATACACAGCGGGATGGCAATTAGTTTCCCATTATACCTCAACAGGCAACGCCTAGCACAGTTTGGCTGACATTGAATCCTCATTTAGCTTTGTGTATGAGGGTGTGAGTGGGCAATGTGTGTGTGTGTGTGTGTTCTGTTACATGACTTCCTACTCTACCAAGCTTTATTTTAGCTTCAAGCTCTCAGGCCTTTGAGGGATCTCCCACTAGACACTGGTGTACTGGTGTACTGCTAAGGTTTGGTTGGCAGTTACAAATGACTTTGACCAGCAGAAAGGCTTCTTTGACTATGATTTTAGTTGAAAAATAAAATCTCAACCTGTGACGGCTTAGACTGTTTATGACAGTTGATGTCTAAAAACGGCACGAGGAGGCTGACATGATGGCTTTTTGCCCACTCAGCTGCTTCCAGTTGCTGTCTGATCGATATGACTTAAACACATCTTGTGTGTCTTTATCTTCCTGACAGCTTTTTTTTTTTTCCCAGAGATCTCGGAATACTCTTCAGAGAGGTTTCCTCTAATGCTTCAGAAGGAACAGACAGTTTGTTGTCACAGCTCTTTATTTCACTCGAGGTGCTAGTATAACCAGAAATGTACTATGAACACCTAAACAACGGGACTTCTCCTGGTGCTTTAACACTGTGGTAGCTGGATTGTTCCAGACTTGTTCATATTACCTGAACTAGGTTTCAAGTTAAGTCACTGTACCCGCTTGTTTCATCAGCAGCACAAAAGGTTTGACACTGAACCTGTAAAGGTTACTAAAGAGCTAAACTGGTGGAACTAATTAAATATAATGAGCTGTGTGGGTTGTCTATGTTCAAACGTTTTAAGCTACGGATATATCGTGACATATACCTTTTTATCAGAGCTAGAGATAATTGCATATCGGTAAGGATTTCACTTCACCAAGGCCTTGTAGAGATTCAACAGTCTCGAGACAAATTCAACCAGACAACCTGAACAGATTATAGACGGTAGAATCCAGTGGATTCTATTGGCTCGTCTTACAAATGGAGAATGTCTTATCTATACTTTCAATCGGATAGTTCAGTCATTCATACTTTGGTGTTTTCCTCTTGCAATGGAACATGGACATGATTGAATTCCTACCGTGTCCCATCCAGAAGTTTGCCGAATACACCGCTAGTGATTTTTCTTTTTTGCCACTGGAGTATTCACAATCAATGCCACATGCCACACTATAGTACTGTGTGTGGGAGTCGATTAGGGCCTGAGTGAAACCACAGAAAGCACTGTGCAGTAGTTTGACTCTTATGTTTCTCTATCTCTCGTTTTACTCTCTTTGATCTTACCAAGACGTGGTGAATGGCGGTACAGGCTACAGGCCTCCTCCCAGGACCAAGGAGGTGGTCATCAACGGCCAGACGGTCAAGCTGAAGTATTGCTTCACCTGCAAGATCTTCAGGCCGCCGCGGGCCTCCCACTGCAGCCTCTGTGACAACTGTGTGGGTGAGTGAAAATGATAATCTCTGACTGTTTTTTTTATGTTTGGCTGATATTTTCTGTTAGCACCGTCATTTTTGCCACATTCATTTTGAGAAATTAGTATTGTTAACAGAAACGGGGAAAGACCGTCACCAAACTATCCTTTTTATGCAATTTGTGAATTGTTTTACCTCAACCACTTCACTTCATATCCGTGCATATGTATTTAAATAAGAGGTCAACATACAGTATGCTTCGAGGCATTCACATCCACACAGAGGAGAAGGAGGGAATAGTTGCCATGAGAACAGAAAGAAAACAGCAGCATAATGGTTGAGTTTTACTGCTCTTCACAGCTGCATTCTCCGTCTCTGGAGACGAAGGGAAGAGCAGAGCTAGACAATTACTAAAAGATGGAGACGGAGATACAGAGACCCGTGTGTCTGCATCTCTCTCATCAGGGTTTTTTTGTGATGCTCACTCATCAGAGACCGCTCCATCCTTTCAATGTCTATTTCCTTGTTAGAAGTGGCGCTGACTGAAAACCTGGAAGACAGAGATGAGGAAGTAGTAAACACAAGAAGAAGAAAGATGAGGAGGTGGTTGTCAGATGTGGCAGATGCACACTGGCAGGAAGGAAGACAGACTGGCAGCAGAACAAAAAGATGGGAGGGAAGTCATTTTCACAGACCGGCTATGTTCACATTTTAAGTGGATTTTTAAATTCATAATTGAAAGTGGTGAAGCTCAGTTTTTGTTTGGAATTTAATTAAAATAGAAAAAAAAAACACGATAAGGTAAATGATTGACTGACCGACTCAAACTAGCGCAATCACAGGAGGTGCTTTAGATTTGTTCCAGAAGCAAACATGGACACATCATTGTATGATCTTCTGAATCCAAATCATTGGGGATGAGCCTTCACAAAAAATGTGATGACTGTCACTTGTAAAACATGGTGTCTCTCTTATAAAAACTACTTTACCTTCTGCTCTCAAGGCTCCGGGCCTCCGCCCAACGTGGCTCCAGATCCCAAAGTGAATCAGTCAGTTCAGAGAGAAACTGTATGAATAGTGGCACAGAGAATGATGAGTTTTCTCAAAGGAATGTTCAATATTTTTTCAATAACCCAAGCATGTTTTTTTCAGTAATGATCCAATTTAGTAACAAATTGGATCGGCACTGGAAAATACGGATCGCGTTGGCATTAAAAAAAGAAAGTGATACGAGTGCTTCCCCTGTCTCTCTCTGTGTGTCTACCTTTGGTGCTGTAAACGCCATGGGAGCTAACACACTCTTAAATAAGTTAGCAGGCAGAATGGAGAGGGCGTCCCCCGTGGAAGTACAGGACAGGAATGTAGTCGAGTCACTTCCTTTTTAAGAGGGTTATCGCCGTGGGAGGGATGGAAGAAGCTTATGAGAGAGCAGAATTGTGACACACACACGGATCACTTTGCTTTTCCCTCTGTACTCGTTTTATTATTTCTTTCTTCACTATATATATACTACGCAGATACAGTATGACATGGTGTCACTGTTGGTGTTTTATTATCAGTTGTAATGTTAATAGGGTTGCAAAGTTCTGGGAATTCTCAAGGTGGAAACTTTCCACGGAGAATTTAGAGGGAATTTGTGGGAATTCAATGTTGTTATTTGCTTAGGCTGTATTTACATCATATGCAGCTAGAAACTAACTTTTACAATTAAATGGGCCATAAGACCTAGTATTGCTTTTTTATGTAATAAGTTTGCTATTTTAATGGAGATTTTCAGACATTTGTAATCCTAAATGTTGATAAATATTGATGTGTGGACAGAGGGTCGGGATTATAAGAGCGGTTTTAGGTCTTCTGCTGCTTTCCATCCTCTAATTTGCTTAATTAGACAACATTAGACTGAGATTTAATGACACTCTTGGGGAAGAGGAACGTTGCAAACAAAAAAATACATCAAAGAATATTGGCACATAAATCAGAATATATTAGATCATCATGAAACTGTCAGAGTTGTTGTTGTGAGCTCTTGGTTTTACTTTAAAGCGACCATCGAAGGAACGATGCTACTGAGCGATCAGCTGCCACGCCTGGTCTCTATTAGCAGCTGTTTCTAATACCTCTACCTCGTTCTGATCTTTAGCTCTAAAGTTAATCTGAACCTTCGTAACAGAAATCTGTTATGTCCTGATCGCATCTTTTACTGAATATAGGCGGATAACGGTCGCTATATTTGAGTCGTAGTGCTTGTCCCCTTTCATCTCGTCTGACTAGAGACTGAGCTGAATGTCCCAGACACACTTTAACTAGACATTGATTTGTGACGACAAAAGCAGGTCATCTCACTTCACTAAACAAATAATGGCTCTGATTTAATAAGTTCAGTAACTACCACCATGCACAGCTGGCAGTCCACCCTCAGAGGTAGGAGGGCGGAGCTAGGACTGATTGAATAATCACGCTAACAATAACTGCTCTTGCAATCAGTTAAAGGGATAAGTATGCTGGGGTACAGTTTCTTTAATTACAATACCACTTACTCATTTTCATCTGAAAGCATTTCACATTCATGAAGTAATCATCAGACTGCATTCAGATGCGAGTATTTCTGAATTCCAGACATTTAATTCCCTGAAACAACACCGATATTCAGATGAAAGAGGCTCCACAATAACACTTTGTTGAGATGCATACTCCGTACCAAGGTGGCTGACGGGCAGTGTTAACAAACTGGACAACCCCAGTCGTTCCTATAGGCAGGATCTCTGCGGGAGGAACCCGGCGGCCTGGACAACACTGTCCTCAAACAGCTTGACATATTCCTAAATTGTATGTTATATCCAGCAAAGTGCCTCTTTCGGCATCTCAACCCTCCACAGACCCAGTGTCAGGGGAAGTGTTTCAGCCATACACAGTCATGTTGGGCCTGTAACTTTTATTTACTGTTTTTTTTTATAAATAGCCAGCTATGTGAGAAATGTGTATATTGTTATGCCAAGACCCAGAGGGACACTTCCCCTGATGTCCTAGGGCTCCGGGCTCCTACTTTGTGTTGGCATGCACTGAAGTAACCTGCTTATTTTTGTTTTTTTTAAATGTCTTGTAATTGAGCGTTGAAGAGTCATAGATATCTTCTGGAGAAGCCATGTGTGCATAACCAGGTTTTGGCAGGGTGAACATGATGAGGAATATCACTGCAGCAGCAGCGTGGTGGGGATAAAAGGATAGACTTGTGTGACTTCTTGTATCCAAAATACTTTCCCTCCATCTGTGTGTCTCTCTCTCTCTGTCCATGCAGAGCGCTTTGACCACCACTGTCCCTGGGTGGGGAACTGCGTGGGAAGGAGGAACTACCGTTTCTTCTACATGTTCATCCTCTCGCTCTCCTTCCTCACCGTCTTCATCTTCTCCTTTGTCATCACACACATCATTTTACGTAAGTAGCTGAGGGAGGGGGGGGGGAAAGGACATGTGCTCAGGCATGGTACAGATATACACACACACACACACACTCCTGGCTGTGCTCTTGGTGTGTCTCGAGCGAGCAGGGTGTAAGTGGGCGTTGTGAAAAGCTGCAGCATTCTGGCTTGTTACCATCTTTCCAGCTGGGAGCAGGCAGTGGACCATGGGCTCCCCATCAGTGTGTGTGTGTGTGTGTGTGTGTGTGTGTGTGCGTGTGCGTGCGTGCATGCGTCTCAATACCCTGTTCATGTTGTAAGCGTGCAGAAGACATACAGTACAGTTGTGCTAAGATCTGCTTGTCGGTGCTTCAAGCCAAAGGTAGTTGCAGTCCTCCAGCGCTAACATATGAGCTGATCGGCCATGACCAGTGACCTGCTGATCTTATATTTCATGATGCACAACTATTTTGATGTTGCACAAGCACCATGGAAATCAAACACAGCGGCGGCACACACACGCCGTCGGTGTGGAAGTTCTTCAGCGGGAGTGAAGAGGACAAAAAGCTTACAATTTGTAATGCCTGGAAGTCCAAAATAAGCCTCGACAGAACAACCTTAAAAACAAGCCTTAAAAACATTTGGAACAACTAACTTAATCAGACACTTAATCTATTTATATTGTCATTCACTTCCATGCATGCTGCTCAGACTAATTGGCTCTTCTGCCAACAATGGCGCCGGGTCTCTCCCTCTCCTCCTGCACCATGTGCAGTCAGTAGGTAGGAGATAATATAATATATACAAATTCATAAATAGTTTGAGATGATGGACAGTTGACACTATAACAGGCAGTACACAGTATAGAATAATACATTCTGTGATTGTTCTCTATGTATGAACATTAGAACTGTCACAATATCTCATCTTCACTACAAGATTACTACACTTAACTACATGTGGCCAAAATAATTCACGATGATATCGTAATATTTCAGATTATTTACAAGATATCATATGTGTATTATTAATATATATATATATATATATATATATATATTAATTACAGTTAATGTCAAGTCTGTAGCAGTACCCAATATCTGATACAAGTTCCTACATTCAATGGGTGTTGTTTAATGCTGATATGCACCATTGTGTGTGTGTGTGTGTAATGGCGAACACAATTGTATAATGTTCTAATGGAAACTGGTCTTTCTCTGTTCACAGGCTCTCATCAAAGCGGGTTCCTCAACGCACTTAAAGACAGTCCTGGCAGATATCCTTTCACTGAAATAGACCTTTTGTCATTTATTGTGCAATAGGTGTCCATTATGTGTGATTGTCTGTCTTTCTTTGTATACTTCTCCATCCATAGTCATAGCCATACAGGTCATTCTGTAGTTCAGAATTACTCGCATAACATGCCCTTGCATTCACATCGATCACTCCTTAGAGTTATAATACTAACTGGAGTGCGTCTGATTAGTGTCGTTCCATCAGGGTAACTCATCGCGCACGGCAGCTCCTCTCCCCGTCTCTGTTGATTGATTCAGTCAGTCTCTGAGCTCCTCTGCTCTAGCGTCACTCTACATTACAGTCATTTAGCAGACGCTTTTATCCAAAGCGACTTACAATTCAGAGTCTATCACATTTCTACACCGTAGAACTACGGGAGCAATTTTTGGGGTTTAGTGTCTTGCTCAAGGACACATCGACATGCGACTAACAGAGCCGGGGATTGAACCGCCGACCCTCTGAGCGCTGTCATGTCGGTCTGCGTGCTAGATGCCGAGTGTGTGAGAGACGTCTTAAGCTACAGCTGTTACAAGTACCCTGAAAGTCAGCTTATTGTCTCAGCACAACATCAGTGATAATCATGAGGACTGTGGTGAGTCAAACGTTGTGTTTTGACATTGCTGTAAAGTTAAAGTTTCACATCATTTGACCTCAGTGTGTAACTGTAAATCCAGGCAGTAACGGTTGGAAGCAGTCACCTCCCCAACACAATAGAGAGGGACAGTTACTTTGCTTTCAATATATCAATTCAATACAAAAATCTGAACAAGGATCTTCTAATAAACAAAATCAATAGGCCTGTTTGGAGAATCTGTATTGCTCTCTCCCTCCCCTCCTCCCCCCTATGTTCTGAGTGAGATAACTGTTTCTCTGGCAGAGAAATGTGTGCCAAGCCGAGCTGATAATGGTCTGTGTCCTACAGGACTTTAAATAAAGGGGGACTGCTGCCGATAGTATCGCAGCAGTCCTTTGTACTTGGTGAATGATGACATGTTTTGTCCTCGCTAAGGAGGAAGAGAGAAAAAGACGAGAGGGATTAAGAAAGAGAAAAGGGTAGATTGTCTGTAAAAATCAACTAAATACCCACAGACTCGTGGTCTTTGAGTATGTAATGTTCTACTGACTTACCAATATGCCTACAGGGACTTAGTGTCTGGGGCTTATCTTATTAGAGGCAGTATCCTAAGATATAGTCAAGGGCCGCTGTGTTGTTTCCCCCCCTGTAAAGGCAGGATTCATCAGTGTCTGTTTTATGTGGAGCAGAGAGAATTAGCAGCGTCCTGCAGTCCCAGCCAGATGAACTGGTAACTAGGAACTATTGGCAAGAGGACAGCCCTGAGGCTGTAGGTCAGTAGCCTGGCTGTTAGAACTCGTGGATATGTGGTCCATGCTGTCTCCATATGGGTCCATCATGTGTCTGTCTTTGTGTGTCTGGGCTTTCACATTATTGTCTTTCTGCCATAGCTTTTATTCATTCATTCTCACGTCTATTGAAACAATTATTCCTTGATGCAATTGTGTCACTGTGCTGGAGGTGGTGGTGTGTTTCTTTTCGGTCTGGTCCATAGTGGGCCTCTCCGGCTTCCATACCTACCTGATCAGCTCCAACCAGACCACCAATGAAGATGTGAGTATGAAATAGACATTCACACATCACAACACGCGTGCTGAAAAGAAACCGAACCGAACATTTAACATCCATATTAACAGGAAAATGTATCGGTTATTGTGTCATGGGTTCGATCCCCGTTCGTGCCATAAACATATTTCATTTTAGACACAACACTCAAACATTATCTCTATGTTGCACCGAGTCATGGTTTTTCTAGCGGTGACACTTCAGGTAATTTATCTGTTGCATGGTCTCTTCCAGATAAAAGGTTCATGGTCTTCTAAAAGAGGGAAGGACAACTATAACCCCTACAGCCATGGCAATATATTCACCAACTGCTGTGCAGCACTGTGTGGACCCCTGCCACCAAGGTATGACATGTGTGTATTTTTACGTGGTGATTTATTAATTCTTAGATGCCCACATGATGACATGTAAGCCCGATCATTCACTGCTCTGAGAAAACCCAGTAAAAAGTCACAGCACCTGTTATTACCCCCCCCCCCCCCCCCATTGTAATGTTGAGTTTTGTCCAAAGGCTAAACTCGAGCTGTTAGTCAAGACTCCTTTTGATGTGAAGAGCTGCTTTGAAAGCAGTCCGCCCGCAGCTGTTTCTCGATACATAGCTCCTGAGATACAGCAATAGTGGAAAGGATTTCAAGCCCGTTTTAACCAAATCCAAGATCACACTTTTGCTGCTGATGTGATTTAACAAGAATCTAGGCCAACTGTCACAGCTACGTTCTCATGTCCATGTGACTGTAGATGTCAGTACACATTGCACATTCCCTCCCAGCTTCTTTCACTTTTCACTTTTTGCCAAACAATTCTCATTACTCATCCGTGAAGCTGCAGTTCTTGATTCCTGCGACTGAAACTGCTCTTTCCTGTCTGTCATCACGGTTCATAATGTGTTCGTGCTCACTCACTCGACAGAGATGCATCCTATCTGCTCTTATCTTTACTGGCCACCGTACCCGCTTTGTAGATACAACACTCAAAATGACGCCGTGAAGAGGTCACAACCATCTTTGCCTTTGCACTCATTTAAGAGCACACAGTCTGTAGTTCAACACATGCATACAGTATCTTCTCAACGTACTAAATACATACATAGCGGCACATACACTCACACAGTATAAGAAGAGCAGCGATGGAGGCTTCTGGTATCATTCTGTCAGTGTATCTGGCTGCGCTGTGCTCTGGGCATCACAAGCCGTGTGTGTGTGTGTGTGTGTGTGTGTGTGTGTGGGTGTGTGTGTGTGTGTGGGTGTGGGTGGGTGTGGGGGTGGGGGTGGGCTGGCGCACTGCACAGCTGTGTCCACCGGTAAGAAAGGAATGTTTCACCTCAGCGTCGGACTATGCAAGCAACGCTGCTCCTCACACACAGAGACAAAAGCTTCCTGCATTTGATTACCTGCTGAGACCTTGACTCGCACCTTCTTATGCATCAGCCTACACACGTTCCGCTATTCATTACCAGCAACACAAGCCGCCTGCTGTAGGTTCCCGGAGTCTGTCTCTGTGATTCTAGCAAACCATTTCCACCTGAATCCAGCTCAGTCCCACTGGAACACGCTGTCGACTCACTTTGTTAAATGATTACCCTGCTCGCACTGTTTAACACCTCAACAGGCTGTGTGTGTGTACTGCGTCAGATCAACCTGTATCTGGCTAATAAACAGCCATTATCACATACATCTGGCCCGTGACCACACACGTGGATATATACGCATACCAAAGGTTCAGCAGGTCATGGTCTAACCAGCTGTGTCAGTTCTGCATTAACGATGGGACAGAAACTATGATTCACTGCAGGACCGCTGTGATTTATTACCAAGTTGTGATTGTATACGTTTGTGTGTGAGTGGAAGATTAGAGTTTTCAGACTAAAATGTTGAGGCTTGTACACAATCGTATCACACATCCACTGACACGCTGTTGTCTCTCTGAACAGTGTAGTACCGCTGACACACGAGGTCATTTGCACTCTGCTAATCCCACTTTACCTTGAGTCAACCTGGCTGTAGATACAGTATCAGCCTGCTGTTGCACTCAGTGACTGCAGTCAGACCATTTCATATGTACATCTGTGTTTTAAGGCTTTCAGTGCTCCAAAGAATCAAATGGTTGCACTGCTCTACTGTGTGAAATCTGTGACTGTGTAATGCCATTCGCTTTGTTCATATTTGTGAATGACTGCTCAAAACAATGCTTTTCTTCCCTCTTTGTTTCTCTCCGACTAGCCTCATTGACAGAAGGGGCTTCATCCAATCAGACGCGCCACAGCTGGCACCACCAACCAATGGCATCACTATGTACGAGGCCACCCAGTCTCAGCTGAGCCACATGGTAAGACACTGACCTGACTCTCATGACAGCTGCTCTTGTCAGATGCAGCAGAAGTTCTGTTTACAAGTGCAGCCAAACAAACTGTTGTAATGAAGAGGTCAGTCAGTAACTGGACTAACAACACTAACAATGAAAAGCTACTAAATGGAGAAATAATTACAGGCGGTAGGTATTGTTTGGCCCACCTTTTTCTCTGTCCATCCAGACCGTGGAGTGTTTCTCATCCAACCAGATTGAAACGGATGAAATCGCTCAGAATATCAAAGAGCGAGTCAGTGATGTTTTCAATGGTGCATGCGTCGCTCCACGTCGTCTGTAAATGAGGTCAGCGATAGCGAGGAGGGGTCCTCTGAGTGTGGCCGTCTGTGCTGAGGTTGCATCGCACTGTAGAATTTCACTTTCCCTGATTTCTATGATTCCTGCTGTCTCACAGTTTATCAGTCAGAATACTGACTCATACTGATAATCCAAGTCTTGCAGTTGGCCCGAAAAAAGACAACGAGCAGGAATCGGAGAGAGATGATATAAAATGCAATCTATACACCACAGTCGGTAAACAGATGACATGTCTCTTAAAGTCTTGGAGAGAATAGCCAAGACTTTAGAATAACCCCACTGACCGGTGTCCCTCTGGTGCCTGACTAGAAGCAACAAGTCCGCTGTTGTTCACTTTAGCCGTTAACCTCACACATGACATGCTCGATTTAAGGCCTATTCACACACGGCTACTAAAACGTCTCTCACTGGTGCCTTCCCTCTGCACCACAGTCGCCTCGTTGTTCTCGTCCACGCTCGACCTCATCCTGTCAGTTCTCATTGAGACGTGGAACATGAACGTCATCTGTCTCCAGGTCCTGAATGTGTGGACTACTTGTCATTTTCCCTTACGTTAGCACATTCAGAAATATCTGTTTTCTGTAGCGGTCCTGATTAGCAGAGAGTTGTCCTATTGTGCCGGCTGCTGGCCATTTATGTGCACACTGAAACAGAGTCAGCTGTGTGCTTACTCTCCATCTGTTAGACTCGGTTACATGCCGCATCGGTAACACAGGAGGGACTATTTTTGAGCATTCTCATCATCTCCCTACGCCTACCGGTGCAACTCGCTTCATCGCTATAAAAATCTTTTTCCTTTCAAAATGGGAGCTGGACCACACTGTCCACATTGTGTTGTAACATCAAGTCGGTTTTTAGAGAGGCTGCTGCTTAATTTAGTTAAAGCATCCCGTCACTTTAATTTACAGAGGAGTGTAGGTGGGTGCTATTTGGACAAAGTCTGTAAATGTACATGAAGTGTGTGTGAGTGAAAGAGATATAAAGGGGCAGCAGAGAAGTGAATGTATTTAATTCATATTTTTAAATGTATTACTGTTGTTTTAGCTTTTAATGTTGGGTTTCACTCATCGGTGCCGTCGGTCGGCCACGTGACGTCTTGGAATCTCTTGATGTCGTAGAACAAGTTGTGCACGGATCAACACTTCTGTGCTTAAAGATGACGGAGAAGGAATACAGTAGACTTTTGGTATTTCTCTCTTTTGTTATATAGAAATTAATAAGCACTGACTTAACAGCCCCCAAGGCCCAGCAGACGTTTGTATCTCCACTTATATTGTTGGCTTGTGCCCGTCACACACTGACACTGTGTTTCTACAGTATGTAGCCAGTTAATGCATTGAGGTGGTGAGGTGGGCAATGACGGCCCTGTTTCTCCGTGAGGTAGTTTAGTCTGTGATGCATCCTGGGATGAAGAAGCCTTGCAAGCGGTTGCCATGGTAACAGTGTAACCTTGATAACATAAAACCTCCGTCTGGGTTTTTGGGGGGGGGGGGCAGCTTGATTGACAGCAGTCATCTCAGCCCCCAGTTAAAGGGTCAGTTGACCCGAATTACAAAGATCAAGAACAATTCTGAAGTGAGAAATGATGTCTTGTTATAAGTGCACTATTTGCTTTGGCCTCGTCTTCCTCCTTTCCTTCTTCCTCTGTCCTTTTCCTTTTGTGAGCTGTGAGCTATTTTAGTATAACACACACACAGAGTGCAACTTGATCATCCACCGTTTCCTTGTTCATGGTTCCACATTGAGTGACGAGTTACTGTCAGTTTATTAAAGGTAAATGTAGTGCAAGTTATTATCAATTACAGCAGACAGCGGTGTGTTCTTTAACCATCTCACCTCAAAACCTGTGTTAAGATGGAAAATAGATGGTGCCAGCTTTGGGACATTTGTTTTTCATTTTATATGAACACGGTATGACTGCAGCCAATCATTATTTTGATTGTCAATTAATAATTTGGCCTGTAACATGTGAGAAACATTAAAATGACTCTCCACCACTAGAATGACATAATCCTGCGGTGGCATGTTGACTACTGTACACAGTTTAGTGATGAAATCCAGGAATAAAATACAAATATAGGATTAAAAAAAAGCTCTCTTATCCTTGTTGTGTCATCACTGCTATGTGTGAAAGCCAACCAAAACATTTGCTTCACATGCTGTCTGTTATCCAAGGTGTGTGTGTGTGTGGGTGTGGGTGTGTGTGTGTGTGTGTGTGCGCGCGCCGTGGGGGATGGATAGCGCTGACTCAGACTAGATGACTGTTCTATAAAACATGAGTGGGACAGAGCGCTGGATCCCTTTTTTACTTCATGTCCAACACACCGCTGATGACGTAGCTCTGTGTCATTTCAGTCCAATGACCCTCGCTCTAATTAGTCTTCTCAACCAACTGGAGTGAGGCCAAGCTCATAAAGCTGATGAGATTGATAATTCTTAGAATCATCTCTTCTCCTGTAGCTCAACTTCTGTTCGGGACGATTTTTTTAAATTTTCTTTGGGAGTGGTGTGTGCGATGGAAGGAGTCATCAGAGTACTTATTTATTTGTTTGGCTTTTTAACTCCTGCACAACTTTCCTCTGTAACTGGTCAATACTATTCATGGTGATAAGGGGCCAATAGGGTTAAAGCTAATCTCCCTGTAGCTAATGTGTGGTATCGATGACTAACCCTGACCCAGTTACTCTGCTCTGGTTTTAGACGTGTGATTTCCAATCTAATGCAAGACAATAGAGATCAATAGGTCATGAGGCTGTGACTTAATAGTGGCTTTTCAACTCTTGTCTTCTGACCTGAGCTCTGTTTTTATCCACCGGGGCTGATGCACGAACTGGTGCAGGTTCTAACACGGGTACTAACGTCTCGTTCTCTTTCTCTCCCTTATCCAATCACCGACCCCCTCCTCTGTTGTCTTCCCACATACTCTGTTCCTTGATCCCATGTGTCGTTTCTTCTCTCCTCGTCCATCTTCATTTTTAACACTGCCTCTCTGTTATTTGTTTTCTATTTCTGTCCTTTATCACATCTATCTCCCTGACTTTCACATCCCCGTCCTGTATCCTTCTTTCTCCTGCTTCCCGCTGCATTCCCTCAGTGTGACCAAGACCAGTGCATTCAGAGCACCAAATTCGTTTTGCAGGCCGCCACCACACCTCTCCTCCAGCAGCAGAGCAGCGAGCCAGTCGTCCTGACGGCCTCCCCTGAAAACGGATGCTCTGTACCCGGACGCACCTCCCTCGGCCAGCCCACCCCTCCGACGTCCACCCCCAGCCTCAGCTGCCACGAGGCCACAGAAATGCTGCCAATCCACGGACAATGCCACACACACAACCACAGCCATCCCCTCCAAGAGCCGATGGCCCACCACCACTTTCTCACCCCAGAGGAAATGCCCTCGCCGCCAGGTATGCTTCCCTGCGGCAGCCCGCTGGGTCACAGCCACACTATACAGGCCGGCTTCTACAACCCAGCCAGCCAGGACTCACTACACGAGGACTCTGTCAGAGGATTGGTAAAGCTCAGCTCTGTCTGACAATGGGATATACCCCCCCCCCCCTTCCCTCTAGAAACATGTCTAGCCCATGGAACTGCCACGTTTGGACCGGCTCGCTCTCCCCCTGAATCAGCTTTCCTTTCTCTCCTCAGCAGGACTTGAGAACTGAAAGAGGCTGTGGTTTGAATCAGCTGCTAGAAACTGAATGGAATTGAACTGAACCGAAGTGAAGACCAGTTGTCCTCAGCCAATGTCTTGCCAGACCTCTCCGTTGGAGCAGGGAGAGATGTTTTCTAGGCTGGTGGCCTGTGTGACAGCTCCGACATATGCTTCTCTTCTCCTTTCTTTTTCTTTTTTTTTACTTAAAGGGAAGCATATTCCATTACCTCCTGCAAACTGGACACAGAGGAGTTTCTTTCTCAAAGTGGCATATGTCTGTGAGCCATGTCAGGCTACAACTAACTGTTTAGACAGTACATGACATTTTTGGTCAGAATGCTGAATTTCTGTCGATGGATCGCAGGTCTGACGGGTTATTTTGTAAAACAAACTTTAGCCGTTTTGCCTGTTGCTGATTGGACGGTATCTTTTGCCTTTTTTTCTTAGACATTCTCAGCAGTGCAATGGTTGATGTCATCATGTTTCATATCATCCTGCTTTTTCTATGTAAAAAAAAAAAAAACCAAGAGACTGTTGTACTGTACCACGATTATTACAAATCTTACAAATTATTATATTTCTTGTGGATATTAATAAAACATCAACTTTTATCAGATAAGATTGCATTAATAAGGTGTAATGTGAGTCATGTAGCGATAACGCTTCCTTTAAAGTTCACCCTGTGATGAATGCCTGTCGTCATTAGGAGTCAGAATTAAACAAACAAGCAAGTCCAATGAAAGTTGCTGAACATTTATGGCTGTTCAAACAAAGCTGAGACTTCCCATTCATCCTGACAGAATTCCTGGTAAGAGATGTACCGACTAAAACATTTCTGAGTTCACAGTAATATCTATTAAAGGTTATTGCAGGTGCCTCAAAGAAAAAAGATTAAGAGTTAACTGATGAGCAGTTGTTGGTGAAGGTGTCTGGCTAGTAAAAGGCAGTAAATTATCTTCTACCACCTTGTGGTGGTGTAGGAGTACTGCAGGGGAAAGTGTAGTTCTGATCATTAAACTACATGAAAACATCAGGCATTAGTCGTGAAGTGCAGACACCTACTCTGACTTATGTAACGTTAAGCTGCAACAATCCTGTATTAAACAGATGACTACTTGTAATGTGAATGGGTTGTTATAGTGAGGAACTTGCGTGTTGTTCCCCTTCGCTCTACACAGCATTGTTTTGGATTTTTCCCAGTATGTAACTTTAGTTTTTGGTTAATCCTGTCTGCTCCTACCAACCTTGTTTCCAGATGTAGCAGGCAGCTGTTTTCATTCAAAAAACTGGTAAACAAAAACATGTTTTGCCGCCCGGCACCAGATGTTTTTTAAAGTTAGCTTGAGCAGAAAGTGAAGCATTTAGCTTAAGGAGAGTGAATATCAGGCGTACATTCATCTGGTAGACACTGAATGCTCGTGTTGCTTTGTGTCTGATGTGTACAAAAAGCCACTTTTTTGCTCACAGGTTCCCTCCATCACGGTCAATGTGGAAATATCTTAGTGTCGTGTTTACGGCCTGTTTTGTGGTCGATAATATAAATGAATGCAGGTTTAACTCAAACCATCTACACGTGTAAAACAGTGGAATGATAACACATTTATTTGTTATTAAATCATTTATGATACATAGTTTTTTCATACATATTTTACAACAATTACAACAGACAATGCAAAAAAACAGACATTGGAAAAGAAATATCCCAGATTTTATTTTCCTTAAGACGAGATATGGTCACAGATGCAGATTCTACTATAGTCTACAGCTTGCAACATGTCATTCACTAGGTTACATTTGAAACTGACCCTGTATTGCACTGTGCTTGAGTTCAGCTGCACCATTATGTTAAATTGATTTAAATGTCAAGTGCACGGGACGCTCTCGTATGTTCAGGGATCCTGACCTTTTAAAGCAGATTAAATTAAAAAATAAAGAATAAAACTAAGACATGTGGGCAAGTCCTATTAGATTAAAAGAAAAGCAAATTAGAAATGTTTAAATATATAATAATTAAGTCTACATTGGGCCTTGCTCCAAAAGCATGGAGCCCTTCAATTGAACTAATTGTTTGTATTAGCGGTCTATCTTGGCATTTGAACAAAACCAAGTGCTTATTAACATTTGCAATATTTCCAGTTGAATTATACAGTGCGTTAAGGGCGTATCACAGCAGAAATACACTAGAGACAGTACAAGAAATTCAACCAAGGCAAACTTGAAGCTGTAAACAATCATGGTGCCTCACAAGTCTGATGCTCCAGCACAGCTAACTTTCATGCATCAGTCGTGTAGCCAGGGCTGGAAACATGGACCATAACACTCCATGGAAGGGCCATGGTCCTTGCCCACCAAAATGCTAGACTAGCTTAAATCAGTGACCTGTGGTTGCTGCAAGGCTAACCTGACCTGAGGTCAGTACAGGATTTGCCGTTTTTTTTTCAGCATCCATTTTCCGGGTCATTGTGGCTAAGCTAATTTAGCATCGATAACCAGAACACAACAGTATCTGGAACGCTGGCTTCCATGCAAGTCTCGAGCCCCCCCCCCCCCCGGAAGTCACCAAAGTTTCACATCATTGAGCTCCAGGTCCCCCATGATCTCCAGCTGGTCAATGCTGCTCAGGTCCTGCACCCGATGTCTGAACTCAAACAGGTGTGAGCCATTCACTGCCAGCTTGAACTGATGAGGCTGACAGAGGATGAGAATCTGAGAAAGCAAAACACTGCGGAATAGTTAAATCATTACGACGTACTGAGAATGAACGATCAACTTGTGATTGCAGTGGCAGCAGGTTGTAGGCGGTTCATACCTCAAAGTACTCCCCTGACGAGAAGGGAAAGGAGGTCAGCTCCCGCTCCTCCTGTCCCCAGGATTCACTCAGGTATGAGTTCCTGATGAACGCAGAAGACTTCATGCGAGGGTTCAGATGCAGAGCGATGTTCTCCGTACTGCTGTTGCGGAGGTTCACTGTAAAACTGGAGGAAACGAAGATTAAAAAGGTACATTTTTTTTAATTTTTTTTTAAGAAAAGTTGAGTCACCAGAGGGAACTTATGTCGAGCCATGACTTTACCTGTGAGGGTACATGCTGACCTGTCCTTTGATTGTGATGTGCTGTCCGGGGCTCAGTCCTTTGAGTACACTGCCTTTATAAGGGAGGCTCTGGAATGAGAGTATCACGGTTGATACATTTTATACGACACATTATATGCAGAGTATTTTCATGACAAAAAAATGCCAGATATAACATCCCATAGTCCAAGGTAATGTCTTCAGATGCCTTATTAGTCCAGGCAACAATCCAAAACCCAAAGACATTCAGTTGACCATCATATCAGCAGTATATAAAGTAGTGAATCGGCACATTTGGAAAGCGTGAACCAGCAAATATTTCATTTATAACAATTAATTTCCAAAATAGTTGCCAGTTCATTTTCTGCCGATCAATGAGTCGAATAATCAACTAATCCGTGCTGCTCTGACTCTGAAACCTCTTAATACTTTTGTATCTTGATTTTGGCATCATTTTATTGTTTAATTGTATTAATGTTAGTTTAGATAACAGGGGCCACACAGACGAACATAATTACACATATAGAACATCTAAGATCTGGGAATGTGGCATCATGGCTAAAAAGAAAGTGAAACATTACCAACATTTCGGGGGCTTTCGCTTCGGGGTTTTACCTCCAAATAAAGTGGTTTAGATCCTCGTAACGGTCTTGTTTACAACCTGTCTGACTGAGGACTAACAGTTTTTGCCTCACAGGACTTTGTTGTTACGATGTTGGTGTTTTCCCCCAGAGCTCAAAAATAAAGAAACCAGAATTTCCTTTCAACCGTTCAAGAGCTGCATGCTGAGTGGATACGGTCTCCAGTGCACAAACAAAGGAATCATTTAGGAAAAGTGATCCGGTTTTGATGGCATCACAAGACACTGGGCACATTTTGGGCACAAAGACTTTATGTAGATGAAAAGAAAAAAACTCACCAAGTCACCTGATTCTGAATATATTGCCTGACAGAGAAAATAGAAATCATTACAACACATTAAGAAATGATTTATCAGATGTGTCTGTAAAAGAGACGCATCTGACCAGCTTGTGAGGACTTATAGAAGCAAACAACGATGACCGTGTTCTTACTGAGTTTGGGATGTAGCCAATAGCGTGCACCTTGACTTTCCCAGAAATAGAAAATGTGTCCACCCTGTTTAGTGGGATTTTGTGCTTGTATTCCAGCAGGTGAGTGCCATTTACTGCCACCTATGTGTGAAGACAAGCATTTTAGTGTTCTATTTTTTTTATGAATCACATTTAACATAGGTTTTTTTGATGCCTTCATCCTGAAACAGCATGCGTTCACTGGCCTTGAAGACGTCTTCGTGCACCAGGATGATGGTCTCGAAGGGGGCTCCGCGCTTGTAGGGCAGCTGGTGGAGCGTTTGCTCTTTGCCCCAGCGCTCCTGCAGCAGGGAGTTGCACACCACACAGGGCGAGCCTTTGAAGCGAGGGCTGAAGTGGAGGGCCACGTCGGAGCGCGGCTTGGTGCTGCAGCCGCTCGACAGGTCGACCTGGAACCTGCAGCGAGGGTCGCACAAGGAGGCTGGATTATTAAAGGGGGGGGGGGGGAAACTAACTATGAAGGAGTGCAATGGTTTAAAAAAAAAAAATCAGAGACCACTGAACTAGACAATGTTTACACATTTTCCCAGATTAAAGTACCACATGTTTGGGGTTTACCAAACAAATCTTTGTCATATCCATAAAGGTGGCTCTTCATCTGTATATTGCTCTTATTCAATCATCATCTTACCTGTCGGCATCTGGGGGCACAGTGCCCTGGATGATGATGATCTCCCCAGGGTGCATCCCTCCAGGTATGGGCCCTGTGTATGGGACCACCTGAGGCGGAGAGTTGGCGTTAAAGCACGGGATAACTGTGCACTGACAGCAACTGACGACATGCTACCTGAAGCAGGGAGCTACATTGAAACGCCTCTCGCTGGGATAAAGGCCTGCATTGACCGTCAGATATATCGGATTAGTTCACGTGCAGTGTGCAGGCCGTTTGTAGACAGCTGCTGCTGCTGCACATAACCTAAAGTGTAGCTGTATTGTAAGCTACATCATGGTCTATTGATCATTCCATGATGGCATCAGAGGGATGATGATAATAATAAGCCTCTTACCGGATTCAGGACCGTGTGTTTCGCATTTGCCACAGACATCGGCCTCCTGGTGTCACACGACAACATGCAGCTCTGCTGGAAGACAACAGTGTCTGCGCTAAATACGACCGGGCTGTGTGTCTCCTGCGCTACACGGGGATGGTGGCGGTGGGCATCTTCACTCCATCAGCCCGCAACACCGCGCGCATGCGCTGATCCTACCACGTGACCAGGTCCGCTGAACAACAACGGAGGCTCACATTTGACTTCACGTTGACTGTTGAATATTGGTTAAAAAAAAAAATATTATTAGCGCTTGCTGATTTGTGGGCAAAATAATATGAATTATTATATCAACCGTCTTCTCAAAGACACATGCTGTTCACAAATGCGAAAACTGTTCAAATTGCATGTTTTTTTTAATCGAAAACCGTTATTTGTAAGGAAGTGCATGTTCATTTTCAACTTATATTACACTTTAGGAATTGTTAATTAAATGAGTTTCACTTCCGGTTATTCGATGACGCCGTAGTTGTAATATTTGAGTGCTGACGCGTGAGTGTCTGGTGCTCTGGTGCGGCTCTCTATTTATACATCCGTGTTAACGGGGACGCCATCTTGTGTTCAGATTTCTACAAATTTTCGTTTCTCAGAAAACGGAAACTGCACAGCTACAGGCTCGTCAGACCACAGAAATACATGGACCCGAGTGAGTATATCACTGTTGTTCTTATACGTTGTCCCAAATAAAAATGTCTGTGATTAATATTTTCATCTTGTGTTTCAGAGACAGCAGTCGCCGTTGGAGTAGGAGCCGGAGCAGGAGCATGTACGACACTATATCGCCTGTGTTTACTTGTTCAACTCTTCGATGCATGTTAACGTGATGTCATGCATCATCTATTTTCAAGTGGCCTGACAAAGTAGCACGCCATAATTAACAACAAAGGTCCCACTGCTGTGTTCACGTGCAGTGATTGCTGTGGTCGGAGCTCCTGTTGTTCTGGGAGCCATAGGTTTCACCTCCGCCGGGATCGCAGCAGGATCCTATGCTGCTAGTATGATGTCGGCTGCTGCAGTTGCTAACGGAGGAGGAGTGGCAGCAGGAGGTCTGGTTGCTGGTTTGCAGGCAGCAGGTAAACACAATTACTTGATTTTTAAAAAAAATGGTTTTTGAGATGATCACAGCTGGAACGATAAACAATGGTAACCATGTGCTGTGTTGAGCTACTCCTAATGTCTCTGGCAAACTTGGAACTGAAACAGCAGTAATTCAGCACTAATCTACTAATCTTACTTGGATAACTGGTGCAGTATTCAACAAAATCAAGTGTTTTTGAAGGCTACAATTGAATCACACCACCACACTGTGGTGACACAAACGCCAATGTTTCATGTAGTGTTCTAGCAGAGAAGACTGTCTCAGCTTAACCTGTGTACTCTTCCTCCAGGTGCAGCTGGTCTGTCAGGAGCCGCCACTGCAGCTGTGTCCGGTGTGGGTGCAGTGGTGGGATGGCTGGTCAGCTTAATCCGCAGAAAAGAAAAAAGTTAAATTTATGATATTTATTATTTTGCCAAATAAAAGAGCCAAAATAGCACTTTTGTGATCTCTGACAACTGAAATGTTTTCTGTGCTTCCTACACCATAAGTCCTGTCTAGCTCTTCACTACATTAATGGACATTAACATCAACCCCTGTGTATGCTATTGGATCTTGAGCTTCCTGTGGGAAAGGAGGTACTGGGTTAAGGTGCAGGGTGTTATAACACTGACTCTTCCCCTAATACACCAACGGTTTCACAGCCTCTTCATTTCTAATCCTTGCATCTTGCATTGTAATATATTCAACTCGTGTCGTACGTCTGTCTGGTCCATAGTCGTGAATGCGATATCTAAGGACCGCCTGGAGGGAATTTCTTAATATTTGGCATAAACATCCACCTGTGTTCAAAGATCCACTGATTAGAATTTGGTAGTCAAAGGTCAATGTCACTGTGACCTGCATGTAAACTGCAAATTGACTTGTTGGCAGAGGCGATAATTATAGTTTTTCATGCTGTACTGAAAACAACTTCCACTGACTGATTGTGTGGCTATTAAAGTGAAGAGAAATGTCATCCTCGTAGTGGCGCTAGAGGAAAAGTCAGGAGAACACCAAAGTCCATCTGCTTCATCCTCCATGGACCATGAATATTTGTACAACAATTAAAGGAAATCCATCCAACAGTAGTTGAGATATTTCAGTCTTAATATACAGACTTGATATAAATGCAGTTATTAGTAATTGGTCACTGCAGCCATGTTTAAATGATGTTCATCGGACAAGTTAAACAGATTCAGATATTGAGGGTCTTAACCTTTTTGTAGAGAGAAGACGAGCTTCCGTTTTCACCTAAACACAATAACAAAGGGACTTTGAACTGAGGAAGCTTTGGTGCCACTGATGCCTTTCATATAGCAGGTCAGTGCCGCCTTTCACCGATAAGGGTTCAGTATTACATCACGGTGTTTTCACAGAGGTTAGAGTCCTTCATAGGAATGAGAGGATGGAGAAAATTTAATTTTATATTCAATGCTCCACTTTTATTGCAATCAGCTGTTGGTATACATGAACATACAGACATTTTCTCCTCAAAGTAGCCTCATGTCTGTGGTAAGTTTTGTTTTAATAATAAATAATAGAAAAGTTCAAATGATAGACATGCCTTGTGTAAATAACCTTCCATACTGTCCGTCACACTAAGATATAATACATGACGTTGGTTTTCATGCCAGCTCATGTTTTCTTTATACATTTTTAAAATATGTGCTTTTATTTTGAAAGGCAGGGGAAATAGATGAAGAAAAACAAAACGGCAGCTGTGTTGACCAAACTACAGCGGATTTGGTGACTTGCTGATAAGGGCACAAGGTTTGTTTGTATTTCATTTTATTCTAGTTATTGATGTTGACATAAAGTATTTGTTGTTCTCTTTAGTTGCGTGAATGTGTGTTTAAGCTACTGATGATGCTATGTTGGTTGGTTGAATGTCATTTTACTGCGTCATGCTTGCAAGCTGATATTCGGCTCGTTCGACATAAACCAGGCGAGGCGCAGTTCGTGTCAAACGAGCCTATTTGATCAAGTCTCTGTTGCATCTAACGTTAGTCTGATGAAATGCTGCGTCGTGAAAGTGTCAAAGTGAGATTGTAGTTAAAAAGACTAATCATTTCATTTTAAGTCAATTCCCTGTAGCACCCTATGCGAGCTGATCGTTTAGTTAAGTTAGAATAAATAGTACGTTCATATTTAGTATTGTTTTCTTCTTTGCTCTCACTGTTTAAGGCGTGGTTTGGGGAGCAAACGTTAACGTATTAGCAATAAAGCTTTTGTGATCCATCGGTTGGAGAATTAGAGGATCATTCAACGAAGTTTTCTGCACAATCCTTGAATATAGTTCACTTCCTGTTCTTCGATTATGTTTAAGGTTTAATACAATGTATTCCTTTGTGTCATAGAGGAAGTAGAAGTGACTGTCTGGCGCCCTCTTTTGTTCAGATTTTAACAGTGCTTCGTTTCTCAGGAGAACAAAGGTCAGGGCAGATCGTCAGACCAGTAGAGAAGACATGGGTCCTATTAGTAAGTATCTAATCTAATATATTATACAGTTAAAGTACTGATTCTTTAACTTGTATGGTTTCCTAATAAACGTATAATGATTATAATAACCATGGCAAATGTCTGTCTCTTGTATTTCAGTGACGGCTGCTACCATTGGAGCAGGAGCAAGTAAGACCGTACAGCCTTTATGGATCACCTGTGTTTGCTTATTCAACTGATCTTAACACCCCTTAATGTAGAAAATCCATTCACATGCTGTACTTGTATCATGCATGATCCATCTAAAAGTGGCCAAACAAATCACACTCTGTCATTAGCAACAACCTTCTCTCTGTTGTGTTGTTGTCCATGTGCAGTAGTTGCTTTGGTCGGGGCTCCTATTGTTCTGGGAGCCGCAGGTTTCACCTCCGCTGGGATCGCAGCAGGCTCCATTGGTGCGAAAATGATGTCGAGTGCTGCAGTTGCTAACGGAGGAGGAGTGGCAGCAGGAGGTGTGGTGGCTAGTTTGCAGGCAGCAGGTAAACATCTTGACTAGATATGTTTATGGTAGTTTTAACTGATGTATCAGAATGGTGAGATGATCATTGCTGGAACAATAAAAGGAGAATCACGTGCTGCGTTACTTCTAATGTCTTTTCAAAGTGCAAACAAATAAGATCCCAGAAGTGTCGGCAAACCTGGACCTGAAACAACAGCAATGTAGCATTGTCACAATAGAGATTTAAAAGCTTATGTATGTAGATAGTTAGTGTAGGTAATCAACAAAATAAAATGTTTTGGTTCTATTGAATGATACACTGTGATGACAATAGTTCCTCTGTTTCCTTTAGTCTTGTAGCTTGAGAACAACACTCTCCTAGTTTGTGTATCTTAATGGTGGGAGGATCATTGCTGGAATGGTAATCACAGGGGCATTATGTGCCCTATTAAAGTATCACAAAATCCTACACGGGTGTCTTTCTCAGTTTCTCCGTAGCTCCACTTTCTGACAAATAAAACCTGTTAAATCGTGCTGTAGGTGCAGCTGGTCTGTCAGGAGCTGCCACTGCAGCTGTGGCAGGCACCGGAGCAGCAGTGGGATGGCTGACCAGCTTCTTCCGCTGAAGAGAATTACTTGAGTGTACCTACTAAACAGCCCTTCTGTGACTTCAGACGACTGAAATGTTTTGTTCAATAAATCTGTGCATCCTCTGAGAGATTCTGGTCCAT